GTTTCACAATTCCTTTATGTAAGGTTGGGTTTATAATAATTTCAGTCATGTCCGTATGGTATAGTTATCAACATCGCCCAATAATACATTATGTACAGATACAAAGAAGACAACAAGCAAAATGGCGGACAAAGACGCATGTGTAAGATCAATCTGAGCCAATACAAATTCCGGAAGGAAACAGAGCAAGAACAGTGTCGATTGCCTGTCCACCCCGCTCATGAGATAGCGAAAATAATGCTCTCTGAAACTGACACCGACTTTGATGTTGATAAACGCCTATCGACCAAGATTAAGGCATCTTATATCATCATATCATTAATTACTTGAGCACAAAAGTTCCTAAACCATAATAGCTTCAGTCCACAGTGTATCCTGTGTTAAGAACAAGGAACAAGTGAAGAAAATCGGTCCCCATACGAACATGCTCTTTATAATAACCACAACTTTCATTTCTAGTTGTTCCACTCAAGGAGCTCGGGCTTAGGACGTTGCAGATAACAAACTCGCAACATCCTTAACAAAACTCTAATTGTAGCTCCATGTCTAGTAAGAAACTATCGAACAACTTTCTAAAAGGTTTTCATCAGTTCTTCAACAGCTAACACCAACATATCTCTTCAAATATCGCAATACGTTTGTGCAATCCTCTAACGGCAAGTTTACGTAAGATTGTACTTGCATCATATTAAGTTATGCTCTGATGCTCATTTTCAGAGTGTTTTACTAATTATGTACTTCACTTTTATGATTAAACATAAATAAGACTAGAGAAGTTGAGTTAAAGATATTACATTGCCAAACATAAATCATATGATACTAGATTCTTAAAAACTGACTGAATAAAAGGAACAAGAGGAAACGATTTGAAGAATGAGTGATGTTCTCAGTAAAGGTAGTTGTAACCTGGCTCTTTCTGGAGTTCTAAGGTTTAATTAACGTGCCTGACACCTATCTGATTAACATATTAATATACATCTTCCATGAACCTATTGCAAAAATTGTACCTTCTTCACCAACATCTCACAGGTACATGACGCCTTACAACTTGAAATGCATAGAATGTATTTCGTATAATTAGAATGGAGGCTCTAATTTTATTTGCAAATATACGTACTTAAAAGAAGTGTAGCATACAATGCCGTGGATCTCTGATAACAAAAAGTTCACAGGCGTAAATGAATGCCCCTGTTTTGCCAGTCTTTGGTTCCACTTTTTAATTATTGGATTGGCAGTATATTGCGTAATTCTTTTTCAAACTATGCAGTGTCAAGCCTCTGATCAGCTATCCTTATTTTAAATAATTCATGGATCAACCCACACGTGTAACGTTGTCCTTGGACCGGGACCGACCTTCTTGAGTTTGAACGTCTAATGAGTATTAACTCCACTAAACTTGGTATCTTTGCAGACTTTTATCTCACAAAGGTAAGTTAAATTTTTACTTTTTCATCTGGAGCGAAATTCTCGAAGGGTCATAAAATTTCCTTTGATAAATTTAGGGACTGTCCTAAACTCAAACTTTGACTCCAAGACCGTCGTAGAATTTCTCTATCACTCGTTCTTAGCGATTTCGTCCTTGACTCGCTCTGTGCCCCATTTGAGTATATATATATATAATAATGCCTAAAATATAATGCCTAAAATAGTACCTATTGAATATATCTTATATATTTAGGTGGCACCGTTTACATTTGTTACCATTCCAAATCATTACCAATGCGGAGTTCTCTTCAACAACTGTAAAACGGCACTATTGTTGTCGACTGCACATCAGGACAATTTAAAGACAGTCCTTACGCTTGTGGGATACCTACAGGCCTGTCTTAAATTTCTGCAGATTCATAGATAAAAATCCGATGTTAAGGACATTTTCGCAAGGAGTCATAGACAAAATATCAGAGCCAAAGAGTTTTTCTTATCAAAGACAAATTTCGGAGTCTATGACCTTTCGTGAATATCGCCCCTGTGGTAGACGAACGAAGGACATACAGCAAGGGCCGGATGAATTCCATTAGGTGTTTTGTATAGTTGTCATAAACAGTCGAAGGAGCACTTTAGGGCCTTTTCAAGTACAATACAGGGGCTAATATGCCGGGAGCGTTGAGACACTGTAGGTTCCTTAAAACATACTGCATATTGTGTCGTCGAGCATAATAGTTAACAACAGGTTTGCAATGCTGAATTAAAGGCATTGTGTTGTAAGATAGTGGCAGTGAGTGGGTCAGTAGAAAAAAATCGAGTATCAGAATTCTTTGAATGAAATGATAGCAATTTATACAAATGTGTAAATTCTCAGTTATCAGTTACTGATATTACATTTGGAAATGCTGAGCTTGATTAAAACTATAACATACAAAGCATTCCAGTGCACAACCAGGCGTGTTCGATGCACTCTGCCGTCAAAATAGCCAACATCTTGAACTACGAATACGAGGAGTCAGGAATGGAGAGGTTATAACTTTCCATTATTGAAAGGGAAATTCAAGATGGTAATGTA